AGGGGTGGGGAAGTGTCGCATAGGCCCTCTGATGACTCCACTGTGTCTTACTGTCACAAGCTAACCAGAAAATTTATCTAACGGGTGTCCTTTGCAGCGGCCTTCGAAACCGAATGGCGCTTATTTTTGTCAGAGTTGTCTATCAGCCCAGTAACTGACTTGCGCCAAATGAATCGTGCACTATGTGGGTTATGTCCGGCGGGAATTTGCGTTAACAGGGAGAATAAGTTATAAGTCACAGGCCGTGATTGGAGACGGGGAAGGTGGTCTTGGGCCCGTATCACTGTCCCCACGGACAGTCAGCAGTGAGCAAACAAGAACTCAGCTAGGGGAAGTTAACATAGGAGCCTTTCAAAGGCGGCTCTGGGTCCGCCGTACTTATGCGCAGCCTAATAAAACTTACTAAAACTTAAAAGTGCGTGCCAAGGTACTTTTGCCGTCCCCGTCTTCTAGACATTCGACAAGAGAAGACCACAAATCGCGTGCACACGGAATACGAGCCAAAGTGATTGGGAGGTCAGTGAAGATAGTGCAGAAGCCCCACCGGTGAATGCATTTCCCTCGTTTAACCTGTTCTCTCGGTAGCACACGTTTCACTAAAATTGGCGTTAATTTCCTTGGCTATCGTGCTATAACCTGCACGCACCTCGCCACTTGTGTGAATCATTAAGTGGTGTTGGTTTGGCTCCCTTAAGACACGTGCATTCCATGTTGTTTGCACTTTTAATTCCTGGTTACGTATGCCTCACGCATTCACCACTTATGTTTAATGAGGTCTCTGTACTGTGCGCGGATGTGTGTATTTCTGTAAACTTAATTAATGCACATGCATTTACATATTGACTGCATTGAAACAGTTCAGAAAGGACAGTTTCGTTGGTGATGGGCGGAAGAAATGAGCATTAGGAAAAAAAGATTTGCTTAGATGGCAACACATTTGGAGGACTGCTTTACACACTTCGATTAGGGTCTGAGCTGGAATTGAAAGGTTGTGATTTAATGAAGACATGCAAGTCGGTTCGTGAGAGGGGGTGTCCGTAACCGCGTTCCCCTATCAGTGTGTACGATGCATTACACAAGGAAACCATAGGTGAACTCGAGTTGGAAGATGGTGTTCAACCATATCAAAAGGTTGCGTGTTAGATCACGTCGGGGTCACCAATTTGTAGGGGTCTAAGTAGTGCTTTTGTTACGGTCTCTATACTCATCATGTCGATTCCAGGTTGTTTGAAAAAGACAAAAGGTACCAGAATGAGGGATTTATTGTATCCAGAACTCCGTATTGCCGTCTCAGGCAGCAGTGGCCACTGGCGAAGCTAAAGTTTTTTTTACCGCCTCCAGTCCTGCCTGAAAGAGCGTGAGACAATGGTGACAGCTGTTCTTATAGGAGTATAAATCAATTTCAAGTGGTGTCCAATTGGTGTGTTGCACTACCCGAGGGAGTGTCATGTATACTGACCCTTGCTGCGCCAACCGAGGGGTGACAAGTTCAAGTGGCCCCTGAACAGCTGCGACTATCTGGACGCACGCGTGTGCCCCCGGGCGGAAGTCGGTCAAGGGTCTGCAGGTCAGAGAATCGAAAAGCGCCCTCCATGAAGTTGTATGACTTCGAGAAAGTGGGAAGTCGGACAGCAATTTTGGCTGTCTGCCACAGGTTACCTATCAGGCCTCCCGAACATCATCATCCCAGCATCTTCCACTCCAACCAATCGCAAAACCCATTGCTTCGTAGGTCTCCTTTTCATAGAAGTATGCGAAGGCGGCATACATGGGACATTCGTGGAATAGTGCTCAAATTCCTCTAAATGGTCATTCATTGGCACAGGCATGGGAACGCCTCGCGTTTGGAGCGCGCCACTTTTGAGGCACGATGACAGAGAAGAAACCTGTGGCACTTGTTTCCTGGTACAAATTAAAAACAGGTCCAGACAGCAGAATTTATTGAATTCAATAAATTTTGCGACGGCTTTTCAACTACATCCCGTCGTTGCATGAGTCAGATAACGGTTAGAAGCATACAGCAGATTGAATTTCATAGAATGTCAATAAATAACAGCAAGGGTCACAGTTTAGTGTAAATAAGGGTCAACTGAAGGGAGAAAGGGGGAAGAGGAACTTGGCGCAAACCGAATCGTGATTAAAACTAGCTGCCAAATTACCAAGGTAATTAGAGATTGATCACGTAGTGTAGCTACTTGCACAGGTTGGGTTTCTCCCGCCATATGTAGGCCGCTTGCAAGCAGCGTAGCATCCGATTTGTTCCTGCCCGAACAAGTATTCGGAAAGCAGTTTTTGCGGTCGACAGACTGACCACTGTCTAGCAGGTGTTTAGTAATCGAAGAACGTTTTACTTTGTCTTCTTACTTGATAAGCCAGTCAGGCAAGTGCTCAGCAGCCCTGGCTGCCAGTTGCCTTTGGGTACGCTCAATGTGCTTGCAGTCGCAGGTGTACGTGAAGTCATAGATACAATTTAGGGTGGTTTGCAACGGCAAGGCATCCTTTGCCTCTTTTACGGGAAGGCTTTTAGTAGGTCTGATGAAGACAAGCTCAGCGTTATATTTTCCTTCTGTGGTACAACGCAACCGTCGCTGCATTTGTGCATGAGTCAATGTTTTCTGTAGAGTAATTTTTTCTACGAGGGAGCTAATCCCACCACATAATAGATAGAGCCTTGTCTTGTTCACCAGCGCGCGGTCCATATATTTTTTTCTTCTGTGAATGCCTATCGGATGGTGCCGTAGTAAAACAACAAAACTGTTAGTTTTCTTTAACCTTTTGACCGTTGGGTATTCGGTTGAAGTATCTACCTGTACTATCTGTTCGAGTCATGCGACGGGGAGGTTGACTAAGCAGGACTGTTCTGCAACCCCTTTGGATGCACTTAAGTCTTTGTATCTCAGTACCAGACAAAACTGCGCGAAGCTTCGAGTAGCACGAGAGATCTCTTCACGGATTTTCCGGTCTGAAGTGAAGGACCTAACCGTTTACGTGTTGACGCACTGTACGCAGTATTAGCCACTATCGCAAAAGAACTCATAACATTAAAATTAAATGAACTTTGATTCGTCAAAACTTTTCTCCAGGATTCTATTTATATCCTTTAACATAGTAGTGGAGTAAGTATGGAAAGCCCCATTTGCTTACTTGAGCGAATTCTAAACGCTCAGTGAGTTGTGTGACAAACACTCAATATCGTTACAGGTCGAACACAAAACACCAGCCTGCAAATCCGTCCGTACATCACCATTTTCTTTCCCTATTCTTTTGTAAGCGATATTATAATTTTAGCTTGAGAAAGAGAGAGAAAGGGATTGTCTTAAGCCCTCTGACCTCACTTTTTGCTACCTGGCAACATGTTGATAGCAACACGAGAGGTCGCTGCGCGGGTCGCGGTTTCGGCTTTCCGTTGTCACTGTGTGTTTGAACCAAATATTTGAGGTGTCACGCAAGCGGCGCATGTTTGAGCCTCTCTACCAGCTGCGTCAACCCTCTCTAATCTGCTGAATGACTTTTTGTTTTTTTCAGGACACCGACCATGGCTGGCGGTCTGTTTGCCATTGACCGAGACTTCTTTGAACAACTCGGCTGGTACGATCCGGGTTATGAAGTCTGGGGAGCCGAAAACCTGGAGCTTTCATTCAAAGTACGTGCCTTTTAGCCATCCACTGCCATCTAAAAGTTTATTGCCCTTTATATGCGCCCAAAAGTGCTGGTACTATTATATAGTCATCCGGTTTGAGCGCTAATTAGCAGCTGCAATTTGCGTCAGGCCATGGTGGACAAAATAAGTAGTCGCAATGGCCTAATTTTTAATTGTAAACTCTAATTTGCGTATGTCCGGATTGAAGAATTAATAGTCATCCGGTGTGGGCGCTGATTAGCAGTGGCGGTTCACGTTAGTCCGCAGTGATCGGCTGTCGCGTTTTCCATCTTTCTTTGAGATGTTTGTTCACTCCAGCCAACTCGGTATTTCGGTTTATGCATAAATCATCGGAGTGCATGGCGTCAAGAAATTCTCGGCCTTTTTTGGAGGGGCAAACGCCAACGATGCCTGTTTTATCATGCAAAGGTGAGTTCTGTATCAGGGCAATGTATAGCCACTTTGGACAAATTTACACGTCTCTTCACTGCCAGTTGGTGCTCGTGGATGGGTGTGGAGACGGATTTTCCTGTTTGACCGCAATATAGGGTATTACAAGCTTCGCATGGGATATTAAAGATGACTTCTTTCTTATCAAAATAGCTAACCCTATCTTTAGGGTGTACAAGCTGGGTGCGCAAAGTAGCCGTCGGTTTGTGCGCCACTTTTATTTGGTATTTCCGCAAGTGCCTTTCAACGAGTTCAAAAACATTCCTTATATAAGGAAGCATTCGCCATGTATTTGTTTTGGGCAGCTGAGTGGAACTATCTGCTTTTTTTCTGTCGGATTGTTGGTGCTTCATGCATCGGTGTACAAAGTCTCTGGGGTAACCATTGCGGGAAAACAAATCAAACAGATAATTGAGCTCGACTCGATAGGTTTCTTCGTCAAAACAGTGTATCTTCGCTCTGTGTAGCGGACTGCTGACGACACTGCCTTTGTGAGAGATGGGGGTTGTTGCTCTCATTGTTAAGAATAACTTACGCATGTATGTCTTTGCGCTTAACAGAAGTTTGTAATGTCCCGTCAGTATTTCACTAGTATATATCCGTTAAGTACCTACTCAACGGTTGTGACTAGTCGTATCTCTACCTAACGCGATTCAAGCACTGTAAGCTAGGATCAGAGGTATGTTTAGGGTTCGGGTTAGTGTTATCTGAAGGGTAA